TTTATCTATTTTTAAATTGAATGATTAGAATTTATAAAATGAAAGAAAAATATACATAAAAATTTAAATAAAAAAGACATAAAACATATTAAAAATATAAATACAAATCGTAAACGAGAAAAACCGGATTAGTTGAAATCTTAATTACTTCCAAATATTTGCCATATATTCTCCTTTCAATTGTTGATGTATTGTTTTATCACGAACTCGATTTCGAATGCTCATCATATTGCCGAGATTTGAAGCCATATTTGTAGCATATGTGAAATTCCCTTGTGAACTTCGATTTGATTCCGGTTGTACAAAAATTGATACATCAAACAGAGTGTATCCATCTCATTTGTCTTCTACTATCATATTATGCAGAATAGTATATGCTCTCATTTTCCAATTTTGATTCTATCTCACAATAAAAGCTGAATGTTTGACTATGGCAAATCGAGCTTGCAAGACCTCAAAAGCACGCTTGACATCTTTACGTACAGCTTCTTGATGTGTAGCGAATAAGAATGCTTTTGGACCTAGTGGAAGTGGAATAAATTGGACAAAAGTAACCCATTTTCGATAAATACCATAAGTGAGATAGTAAGCCAATTGGTACTCGTATCCGTTGAAAATGTAATTCACTTTTGAAGCTCGACCTTGTAATATATCATCAAAAACTGGTGATCGATCAAGAATATTGATATCGTTTAATGTATCTGAAAGTAAAAAAAAATGCCATATCTAAAGATCTTGTGAAGTTAGAACATCTAAAACAATTGTTGGCTTTCGTGACCCACGTGTATATTAACCTTTCCATGCGGTCGGAAAATTCTTCAACTCCCAATGCATACAATCAATGCTTCCTATCATCCTGGAAAATCTGTGTATCTCTTGAATATCGAGTAGTCGTTGAAGATCTTCTGGTGTGGGTCTTCTTAGATACCCATCTCCAAATAAATTTATGATTCCCGGAACAAAATGTTCCAAGCATAAAAGCGCGGTGATCTCACCAAGTCGGAGGTATTCGTCGACCGCATCAGTTGGACAACCATATGCCATCATACGAATTGCTGCCATTGCCTTTTGTAACGGAGAGATACGAGTTGCTGTTATTGCTTTTTGTAGCGGAGAGTACCCGAACCTTCCAATAGCATCTCTTACTTGTAGAAATTATGGGATTTCAGAGGAGAGTCGATCAATAATACACATAAACAAAGGCTTATTCATTCGAAACCGGCGTCGAAACATGTGAGAAGGATATGTTGCATCTTCACTAAAATAATCGTTCCATAACTGCAAATGTCCTTGTTCTCATTGTCTTTCAATGTAGGCTCGCTTCTTTTTTGACCTTGTTGCTTCTTGACGATCATCATTATGAATGAGAATATTTTTGAATTGTTGATCGAGAATTTGGTCGAATCTTTCATCCATAATTTTTTACAAGTTATTTTTCTACAGAGAAGGGATGTTCGTACTTATCTCGCCTCTGGTATGACTTTCATCCTTTCCTCGATCCTTGCTTTCTCTTAAAGCTGATTCTTTTGAAAAAGTTCCTTCTCTCTTTTGATCTTCATCAGAGCTTCAGAGCATGGGAGAGAAACGACTTCGACACCAAAATGACGAAAATGGCAAATCGAGTGGCTATTGACTTCAAAATCGACAGAGAAGGAGATCGAAGATTTTCGATGAAAAAGATAGAAAGATCAATTTTTGGAGGAGGAAGAGAAACAAAACTGATTTTGAAAGAAACCTGATGAAGAAGAGAGAGACATTAAGATGCAATCGAATAAGAATATGCTACATAGGACTTCTTATCAACCCTTAAACTCCCAATTTAAATACTGGTTCTCTCTTTTCTTTTTCTTTTTCTCTTTCTTTTTCATTTATTTGTTGTTTTTTTTTTTGGAACCAGGCGTAAGTAGCCCTGATGAACCTGGTTTAACAATATACCTAACGTGGATTGTTACTAGTATGTTACTTGATGATGAGTTATTAATAGTCAGTCGATTTGATACATCAAGGATCCCACGAACAGTTGGAGAACTGGATTTGATTATAGCTATTAAGCTGAAAAGCTGGTCTTGTTTGTGGAGCAACGTGCAAGCTTTGTGGTCAGCCATTTGCTACTGCAAACATAAAACATTGTCGTGGGATTAATTATTGAACTTCTGATACCGCAATTTGAGTCATGGCAGCTGATTTTAATTGTCTTGGTTTTCTCGGTGATGTATCTTTGGTGACAAGTACAAGATCACCATGTCGATTTAATCTAGATGTCGGTTCGGTTTTAGTTCAATTTTTATGATTTTTTCGATATTTCAGTTTATAAAAATTAGTTACTATATTGATACCATATCTACTTTTGTTTAGTTCGGATTATATATTAACAATTTTGGTTTATTCGGTTTTATATAAAAAACCATAACTATTTTTCTTTTATGATAAATTTTAGTTTATATGATTAGAAATCATATTTATTAAAATATAATTTATATCTCATATTCTGACTATAAAATAGAATATCTTTGTTTTCGTTTTTACTATTAAAAATAAAAATAAAAAATATTATTATCATAATATTATTAAATAACTATATTTTAGCATATTTATTTAATTTGATGAAAATGAGATTTTTTCAACTTAGAACTAATAAAAATTAATAAAATTAGTGCTGTAAATATGAATATCATATTAATACGTAATCATGTATATATTATTAATTTTATTATAAATATTTTTATATAAGTATACTAACATATTTAATTAATCGTTTTTTTGTTTATTCGGTTGATCAGTTAATATACCAAATTATATCCATATACCACCGTTTATTAAAATTAACATTCATTTGGTTTATTTGGTATTATCAAATCTAAGCCATTTTTTCTATTTTGGTTTGATTCAGTTTGGTTTAGTTTTACCGGATTGAACACCTCTTTATTGTTTTTGTTTTATTTTGTTAACCAAAATATTGTTTGTTTAAGCTTGCCTATAGAGTATCATAGTACAGTTTAAATTTCAAAACAATCGTTCTTTAGAGCTTATGTTTAATGACAGAAAAAGAACAATCGTTCTTTCCTTCATAATAAGTTTTTTTTTGGGGTTTTTGCAAAACCAATCTAAAATTTCAAGTCAAACACAAAACCAACCTCTTTTTTTTTGTCATTACTATTCATTGTTAAAAAACCTAAACTCTCCTTATGTTTCCACCTATTTACCAAATTGCCATTATTTTTAAATCTGATTTTATTTTCGAAAATTATAAAAAACCTATTACACCCTAAACATTTCTCCTTATTTACCATAATGCCATTGTCATCAATATTTGCAACCACCCAAAACCACCATTGATGAGCTCTTTAAGCTTGTGTTTATGAAATTTCAACCACTTATTTCACT